TGATTCAAATTTCTGGTAGATGGCGATGTTTGTGATGATACCGTAGGTAAGAAAACTTTTGTCAAGGTAGATGACTCAAATCGTATCGAATTGACCTCCGGTTCGTGTCCGTGCTACCGACACGAACCCACATCGCTTCCTCATATCCACATTTGTGGTAGAGGGCTTAGAGATATTCGATTAAATCGAATTCGGTATTGTTTTCATAGTCACGAACCACCATGTAAATTGATACGATTTTTATCGGATGCTCCTAAAACCACCTACTAATTTCTGCTACCTCTGCTGAAACTCTACTACAGGCTACAGGCCATGAACTTTTTAAAGTTTTGAATTTTACAACGCGGTCAAACCGTCAATTCAGTTAAAATTTTGCTGTTCATTTTTTAAAGTCCTCTATTTTCGAAGCATCATTTCATTTTAGGAAATTATCATTTCCTCCAGAAACAAAACAAGTTCTTAAACTTTTCCCATAAATTAAAATAACTCTGCAACAAATACGCCCAATCGTTTTCATTCAAACTATAGCCATTTTCATCAGTATTGTTCCAATTCCGATTCCTGTATAATTCAACAAAACAAGAGCAGCAACAATAACAAAATGGCAATAACAATTTAAAAATGCTATCCTACCCATTTATAAGCTGTCATTTATTCTAATTCTCTTACAAATGTTCTCAAGCCATTATTAAGTGAGCAAAGGACATTTGTGGAATAGTAAATGTTGAGGTCCTTTTTTTTACAAATCGTATCAGAGTTTTAGTGTTGTTGGTATTGTTGTCATTCAAAGCAGCAATAACGAAAGTAGCAATAGCAACGACAACAACATGGAAAGTCCTTAATATGATTGGGCAATAAGAAATCCTATTAAAAGGATATGCAAAAAAAAAAGACAAATAAAGGACATGAGTGGTTGTGTATGTGTATAGAGGTAAGTGTGTGCATGTGTGAGTGACTGTAGCTGTGTTGAAGTGGGTGGTCTGAGAAATAGGAGCAATAGGATATGCATGGTAAAAAAGATTGAGGGGAGACAAAATAAATCCAATAATCTTTTGGTATAAAGGGGAGATGGGGCAGCACATCAAGTCATGTGAAAGTAACATGATTTTTTTTTTGTTTTTTGAATCAAAAATTTGGAAGAGAGTGGATTTGAGTAGCTAACTGCATATTCAATTTGATGGAAAATTTAAGACTAAAAAAATACAAAACTGGCTACCAGTTAGCCAATGGAAATCCATGATAAAACAGTAATGGAGAATTTTAAAGAAGATTAGAACAAAAAAAATTTTCTCCCAAACCCTATGAGTGGCTTCTAAGAGACTAAATACACTAACAATTTCCTTTTAAGACCACAAAATCCTTTGAAAGACTTTAGATTAAAATTACCACAAAATCTCCATGTAAACCCCGTGCTACCCATATTCCTCCCACCAGCAAAACAAGGTAAGGGTCAACATTTGGTTTTCGTTTACCATTACCATTTATCGAAGAGAGAGATTTAATATGAGTCCAAAATTTTTATTGTTGTTGTTGGTTATTTTGTTTGCCATGAAATGTTTAGTGTGATTGGTGTTGGCGTTTTTTTGGTTTTATGGGCTTTGCTTTTGGTATTATTTTGTTGTTACTGTTGTCTAGCGTTTTTAGGAAAACCAGTCACGTTTTGTTTGTTGTAAACATTTTGTAGTCACATCCATTTTTCTAGTTCTTCTTCTTCCTCTTCTGCATTTAGGTTTTCTAATTTTCTTTGGCCTTCATTTAAAGAAATCCACCACAGATCCCAATATAATTTAACAACAACAACAAAGTTACGAAAATTTAAATCATTCATCCATTCAAGCATAGATCTCTAAGAGCATCCATGCATCATCCCACTCGTGTCTTAAATACAGCTCACGACCTCCATAAGAAGAGGTATTATGGTGAGGAAAAACACAGTGGGTCAAAAAGAAAAAACATTTTTTGTAAACCTACAAAGGCGTGGATTTTTTTTAAATATTTTTCAGCAACCCTCCTAAGGCGTGGATTTTTATATCCTACACCACACTGAGGTACACGGTATTATGTCTTGGTACATATGTTTGTAACGATTTACGCATGTCCGTACGCTTCCAAAGAGCCAGGCGTGCCAATGCGGAAGATTTATCGCAGCGTAAATCCGAGTTCCTTGCTGCTCTTAGTACGTACAAAGACGAGCTGTCTAGGAGTAAAGAAGACAATTGGAGGAGATTTGTACGGGACAATGGAGATGATCCATGGGGTATAGTATACCGTGTGTGCCGGCTTGGTGGGCCTAGGAGACAGGTTGACCTACAGGGGTTGCCTAGCAGCTCTGCGACAACCACCTCGGGGTGGGGAGGAGAGCGTAGGGCTTTTGTTGTGAACATTCTTTCCGGATTCGGAGACTCCATCACTTCCTCAGGTTGTTGAAGAAATGAGGGAGCCTCCGGGTTTGGATCGTATAGAAGTTGTGGACAGTATCTGCTGGGTTAGAAGTAGAAAATCGCCGGGTATGGATGGTATGACTGGAAGGATGGTGAAAGCCATCTGGAAGGTTATGCCGGAATATATCGAGTCCGTTTTCTCCAGATGCATTCGTCATGGATACTTCCCGCGTACTTGGAAGTGTGCCCGAGTTGTAGTCTTGCTTAAGTCGCCTGATCGGATTAGGAGTGATCCTCGCTCGTATCGGGGCATAAGTCTTCTTCCAGTGCTTGGAAAGGTGCTGGAGAGGATTATAGTGGCACGGCTGAAGGATTGCTACAGCGAAGGTACGTCCTTGAATCAGTTCGGTTTTACCGAGGGTAGAGGTACTGAGGACGCGTGGCGGCATGTGCAATATAGGGATAGGAAGGCTGTGTCGTGGGAGCCAGTGCTTCGGTCTGGAGGGATGTGCAGCGGTGTTGCCCACAGGGTTCCATTTGTGGTCCATGTATATGGAATCTTATGATGGATCCTCTGTTGCGGGATCTAGCTGATCCCTTCAAGATCTGTGCATATGCGGATGACTTGCTCATCATGATTGAAGGGATAGTCGCCTTGAACTGGAAAATCGTGGTGAGCAAGCTATGCAGATTGTGCAGGCTTGGAGTGACCGAGTTGGAGTGGAGGTGGCTACAGAGAAGACGGAGCTGATGCTGCTGAAAGGCAGGTTGGCACGCAGTCGTACTCCCTGAATTCGAGCTGGTGAACGCGGCATTAGGTATTCGTGTACTGTCAAATATCTCAGGATAACGGTGTCAGAGCGTTTGAATTTTCTTCCACACTTCGATCGGTTGAAGGAGAAGCTGACAACGGTCGTTGGGACCATCAGGAGTGTTTTGCGGACTGATTGGGGCTTGAGTAGGCGTTCTGTGCGTATCATATATGGTGGGCTTTTTGTTGCCTGCGCAACTTTTGGTGCACCTATATGGTACAGAACTGCCTCTTCTGTCGGGCAGAGGAAGCTCCTTTCGTGTCAACGGGTCGTCATGTTAGCGTGATTGCCAGTGTGTCGCACTGTTTCAACAGAGGCGTTGCAGGTTCTACTTGCCGCCGTGCCGCTTGATCTTGAAGTGAGATGTAGGGCTATCATGTATAAGCTTTTTGTGAACAAAGTGCAGGTCGCATTTATGATCCGATTTGGATGAAATTTGACATAGGTCACGTATTTGGCCCAAGGACGAACCCTATTGAATTTGGGAAAAATAGCTTCAGATTTAGATATAGCTCCCATATATATTTCGTCCGATTTAATGTAAATGGTGCACCAAAGTTCCTATATATTTCTCGATTTGCACGAACTTTGGCACAACGTAATGAATTAAGTCTAGAATGAGGTGTGTTTAGTTTCGAGAAAATCGGTTCAGATTTATATATAGCTCCCATAATATATCTTAAGATTTGTACGAAATTTGGCACAGCGTAATGAATTAGGTCTTCAATAATGTGCGTTAAGTTTCCTGAAAATCGGTTCATATTTAGATATAGCTCCCATATATTTTTTCGTCCGATTTAATGTAAATGGTGTACCAAAGTCCCTTAATATCTTTCGGGTTGCACGAAATTTGGCGCAGCGTAATGAATTAGATCTAGAATGATGTGTGTTAAGTTTCCTGAACATCGGTTTAGATTTCGATATAGCTTCTATATCTGACCAAATGAAAAATTTAGTATCGGTTGCAGAATGACGTGTTTATGGATCCAATTTCGTTTTACTGGTCCTGTTAGGATCTATCTGTTGAATATACCCAAAGGGATGAAGGGTATTATATAGTCGGCCCCGTCCGACTTTACTACTTTCTTTACTGGTTTAAAAATATTTTTTTCAAGGTCGCTCCAAAGATTTCTCCTTCTGTCCCTTTATCTTCCCACTGTAATCTCCCACATATATGTGTGTGTGGATTTTGCACACACGTGTTTATGGATGTGTTCGTGTAACGATTTGTCTAAATATGCGTTACATAAATGCTAACAAAGACAGATAGATGGCAAAATACAACAACCTTATTTTTATGGTACTAAATCTTAAGCACCCAAACATTTTGCTTTGCCTTGACTTATTCCAAAAGAAAATGCCACGAAATAAAAAAAACAGATAAACGCCATAAAAATTGGGTCTTGGCAAAGGTTAGGTTATATCGAAACTAACAAGAAATTCCTTGTGGAGGTTATTAACATTCGGTAATAAAACCCCAAATAAATAAATTGACAAAAATGGCAATTGAATCCTTTTTTGGGGTGTTTTATCTATTCGGAAGGAGATAACTGGATTATAAAAAAAATTAAATTTGAAAAGGGGAGGGATCAGTAGGTCAAGAAAACATTTTTCCAAAATTAAAAAAAAACCCATGGAGAATAATAAAAAATTCTTTAGGGCGTAATATACCCCAATTTTTGTTCTTGTAATAAATTCAATTAAATACATTATTGAATTTCTAAATTCGCCGGAATTTTTTTCAATATCGTACACATCGCATAAAATTGATTACATTGTGATTATTTGTTGTTTTGGTGGCTCTTACCTTATGGCGTTTCTTCTCCCGTTCGGGCACCGCATGCCAATTGAATTGCAAATTCCAATCGAAACCGCCAACATTAACACCACCCGAATCACGATAATGATATTCCAAAGTTGTATCGTCGATGACATCGATAACGGGACACACAACCGTTGTTGAATTTCTAGCAATGCGATCCAGCAATGGTTCCAGCCAGCCTAAAAAATAAGTGCGAAACAAGAATTAAAACAACAATAAGAATAAAAATAAATGAGCAAAATAAAACAAAAAAAAATAGAATTTTTGTGGTGTTGGGTGCTAGAGGGGGATATATTTCATTTTATTCTATGTGGCCAACCAGCCAGCCAGTCATCCATCAATCTTGCTAATCATTTTTTATGCGTGGACTAGAATTAATTTAAAAAAATTCTAGCCATTTCAAAATGAGAGTGAAATTTAATAGAATTCTTGTTTTGAATTGTCCATCGGGGTAATTGTTTAGAATCTTAACGAAGTGGGAATTGTTTTGTGTTCTGTTGTGTGGCCCAGAAAAATAGAAGTTTCTAAATTTCGAATCGGGTCAATTTAAATATGAAATGTGATTTGATTTTTGAAAAAATAATAGGATGGGAAATAATATACGAATCGAAAGGTAATGCGTAATTTTCCATAAATAGAACAGCTCTAGGGGTTCTAAGTTATCGGATGGGTCTTTAACTTTTCTACATACATATGAGAAGACATTTTGTTCATCCAGATCTTCAATTATTTTATGAAGAAGGAATCTTCCAGCTCATCTATGTAGAAGAAGAGGAAACTCGTCTGGTCTTCTGTGAAAAAGATATTTGGATTTTCTCCTATTAGGAAGAATACCTTCTTCTATAACGAAGAAGACCTTCTGCTCTTCTGCGAGGTAGAAGGCATTCAGCTCTTCTATGGAGAATAATACCTTCAATTCTTCTATAGAGAAGAAGACCCTTTATTTCCTCTATGAAGAGTAAGACCTTCAGCTCATCTATGATAAACAGGAAAAAATCCACTTCTATGGAGAAGACCTTCAGCTCTGCTGTGAAGAAGAAGACCTTCAGCTCCTCTGTGAAGAAGAAGACCTTCAGCTCTTCTATGAAAATGAAGACCTTCAGCTCTTCTATGAAGAGGAAGACCTTCAGCTCTTCTATAAAGAAGAAGACCTTCAGCTCTTCTATGAAGAAGAAGGCCTTCAGCTCTTCTATGAAGAAGAAGACCTTCAGCTGTTCTATGAAGAAGAAGACGGCCTTCAGTTGTTCTATGAAGAAGAAGACCTTCAGCTCTTCTACGACGAAGAAGAAGACCTTCAGCTCTTCTATGAAAAAGAAGAACTTCAGCTCTTCTATGAATAAGAAGAAGACCTTCAGCTCTTCTATGAAGAAGAAGAAGACCTTCAGCTCTTTTATGAAAAAGAAAAAGACCTTCAGCTCTTCTATGAAGAAGAAGACCTTCAGCTGTTCTATGAAGAAGAAGACGGCCTTCAGTTGTTCTATGAAGAAGAAGAAGACCTTCAGCTCTTCTATGACGAAGAAGCAGACCTTCAGCTCTTCTATGACGAAGAAGACCTTTAGCACTTCTATGGGACACTTCGACTATTCCATTAAGACGACCTCCGGATCTTTTAAGAAAACGATTTTTGATTCTTTTAAGGAATATATTTTAGCTCTTCTTTTTCTGAGAGGACTTACACCTAATTTTTGGCAGATAAGCCCTTATAGCTCTTCTCTTGATTCTTTTACAAGAGACGATTCTGACACTTCTATGAAAAGACCTTCTTACGTTATTATAAGAAGAACTGCTACCTTTTCTGCGAGAAGACATTCTGAGTTCTCTAAAAGAAAATCATCTGACTTTTCTTTTTGAATTCCTTCTGACTCTTCTACCTTACCAATACCTTCTGATTTTTATACCCTTCACCACACTGTGGTACAGGGTATTATGTCTTTGTGCATATGTTTGTAACAGGCAAAAGGAAACGAGATAGACACATGGTTCCTTTTGAGAATATGCATAGAATCACTTTCTGAGTCGATTTACGTATGTCCGTCCGTCCATGTATTTTTGTGAACAAAGTACAGGTCGCATTTATGATTCGATTTTGATGAAATTTGGCACAGCTTATTTGTTTGGCCCAAGGAAGAACCCTATTGAAATTGGGAAACATCGGTTCAGATTTAGATATAGCTCCCATATACATTTTCGTCCGATTTAAGGAAAATGGCGAACCATAGTCCCAATGTATCTTTCGATTTGCACAAAATTTAGCACAGCGTAATGAATAAGGTCTAGAATGATGTGTGCAAAGTTTCGTGAAAATCGGTTCAGATTTAGATATAGCTCCCATATATAGCTTCGCCCGATTTTAGGTAAATAGTCCACTAAAGTCCTTGGAAATCTTTTGATTTGCACGAAATTTGGCACAGCGTAATGAATAAGGTCTAGAATTATGTCTGCCAAGTTTCCTGGAAATCGGTTCAGATTTAGATATAGCTCCCATATATATTTTCATTCGATTTAATGTAACTGGTGCACCAAAGTACCTATATATATTTCGATTTGCACCAAATTTGGCACAGCGTAATGAATTAGGTCTAGAATGATGTGTGCAAAGTTTCGTGAAAATCGGTTCAGATTTAAATATAGCTCCCATATATATTTTCGTCCGATTTAATGTAACTGGTGCACCAAAGTCCCTATATATCTTTCGATTTGCACGAAATTTGGCACAGCGTAATGAATTAGGTCTAGAATGATGTGTGTTAAGTTTCCTGAAATCGGTTCAGATTTAGATATAGCTTCTATATCTTTAGTATCGGTTGCAGAATGAAATGTTTATGGATCCAATTTCATTCCTTAAAAAATGCGACGTCTTTTAGGATTCATCTGTTGAATATACCCAAAGTGGTGAAGGGTATCATATAGTCGGGCCTCGTCCGACTTTACTACTTTCCTTACTGGTTCTATTTGAAGACTTTCAGATTCTTCTTTGAGAATATCTTCGGACTCTTCTTGAAGAATACCTTCTGACTATGAAAGGACTTTTTGATTCTTCAATAAAAACATCTACTGATTCTTCCTTCAGAAGATCGTCTGACTCTTCTTTGAGAAGTCCCTCATTCTGACTTCTCTACTTTCGATTTTTCTATCAGAAGTCTATAATGCTCTTCTGTGAGAAGACCTTCCGACTCTCCTTTGTGAATTCCTCCCGAGTCTTCTCTGATAAGTACTTCCGACACTTTAATATGAGAAGTGTTTCAGTCTCTTCAAGGAGCAGAATTTCTGAATCTTCTTTGAAAATATCTTTCAAAACTACCTGGATTAAACTTTCGCAGTCTTCTATGAGAACACATTCTGAATCCTCTATGAGAAGACTATCTGACTTATATGAGAATACCTTCTGACATTTGAGACGAAAACCTTCAGACTTTTCTATGAGAAGTTCTGCTCACTCTTCTTTCAGAAGACGTTCTACCACTTCCTTGGGAAGACCTTCTGAACCTTCTATGGGGATACCTTTTGACACTTCCTTCGAAAGAAGCGGCTCTTTTGCAGAAAGTATGAAGGTCTTTTATAAACAAACGGAATGCAGGAATTCTTCTATAGACGAGCTGAAGGCAGTAAATCTTCTGCAGAGGAACGGAAAAAATCCACGGAAACACAATTGACTCTTATTGTCCTGTGGAAATACTATTTACAAAATTCACGCTTTTGGTTCTTATAGTCCTGGGGAAATATTCTTCACAAAATCCACGATTATGGTTCTGATAGTCCTGGAAATATTCTCGCAAACAATTAAATAAGAATACCTCTTGAAAAGAAAACCTTCAGACTTTTCTATGAGATGTTCTGCTCACTATTTTTTCAGAAGACGTTCTACCACTTGCTTGAGAAGATCTTCTGACCCTTCCATGAGGACAACTTCTGTCACTTCCTTGTGGATCATTCTAACTCTCCTATGAGAATAGCTTATGACTCTTGTTTGAAAATAACATCTGACTCTTAATAGTTAATTTATTGGACCTTATTTTGAACTTCCGAATCTTTAAAGGATATACTCTTCTTTATAAAGCCCTTCTTCTGGTATTCTGCTTTCATAGTGATTTTTTACTCTCCTCTTCTAGCTTTATGATTTAATTTTTATAATAGATTTTTTTTAATTGTTTTTAAATATACATACATTTCAAAGTTTTATTTGATTGCTCTATTATTTTGCAATTCAATTTGTTCTTAAAAACTTGAAGCAAACCTAACCTACATTTAGTTTTATTCAATTAAATCCCTAATTGACATGCATACATACATAAATATATGCATGTTTGTGTGTAGGAGAAAAATTCATTTTGCAGATTTTCGAATATCATTCATTTTTCATAGGCCAAAGACAGAAATCCATTTCATTTGTGTCAAATCGAAAAGATTATTATACGATTTGTTGCTGTTGTTCTGCAAGCTTTTAATTTCCTTCAAAGAGATTCGAACATGTAAATCTTCGTCTTCTTCCTCTTAGCTGGACATTTAACATGGATAAATGAATTTTTGTGGATTTGTACATAATGGGTATTTTAGTTTTTTTTTGTGGATTTATTTAAGGCTTTTGGGTTTTTGTAATATTTAAATTTTTGATATAAATGGATATTTGTCTGAGTGTGTGTGTGTGTGTGTTGAAAATCTTTCAATTTACAATTTCTATGTCTTCTCCTATTATGTCAATGGTTGTAAGTCTTATGACAGATGGATTGCTAGGAGCAAAAACAATGAATTCCATTTTTGTCTTCATGTGACAGGATGAGATCTATATGAAAGCGTATATCAAAATACAGAAGACAAAGGACAATAAATGGATTTTGGGTTATCAATATTTATTCATATTAAATTTAAGCTTCTTTTGGGGGGAGTTCGCATAGAAAATATGAATAGCATATAATTGAAGGACATTTTGGTAGAAGAATCTGAAAGTCTTCTCAAGGAAATAGTAGAAGGTGTTATCTAAGAAGACTCAGTATTTTAATAAAGGAATTCGAAGGCGTTTTCATAGAGGCGTCCGAAGGACTTTTCTATGTATGAACTTTCGAAGTAGTTTTTCTTCCCAAAGACGAATCAGAAAGTCTTCTCATAGATGTGTCGTAAGGAATTCATATTAAATTTAAACGTCCTTTGAATTTGTAAAGCCAAAAAATAGCCAGTGAAGAAGAACTTCGCATTGAAGAATATTCTTGAATCATATTGAAAGTCTATTCAAGGAAGTGGCAGAACAAAAGTCATACGGTATTCCCTTATAGGAGTTAGAAGGTCTTTCCATAGATTACTCCGAAGGTTTTTTAATAGAGGGGTCCGAAGATATTAACAAAGAATAATCAAAAAGACTTCACAATTCGACATCGAAGAGTCGAAAGGACTTCTCATAAAAGAGGCAGAAGGTCTTCTGAAGGATCTTCGTCTTGTTCGTAGAAGGTTATCTGCCACAGAAGACATTCTTCTCCATAGAAGAGGGACTTCTTCTTTATGAAAGGGCTTAGCGTCTTCTTATTAATAGAATAGCCCGCTTATATTTTCGTAGAAGAATCAGAAGGTCTTCCCAAAAAATAATAAAAATCTCTTCTTAGAGCCTCATAAGCTCTTATTTTCACCAAAGAGTTTTAAATTTAGTTTATGAAAGAGCTTTATGTCTTCTTCACAGAAGAGCTTTATGGTTTATTCTTGGAAGATATGAAGGTCTTCTTCGTCAAGGTTTTCTGAAGGTCTTCTTCATAGAAGAGCTGAAGGACTGCTTTTTTATAGAAGGGCTAAAGGTCTGATTTTTCATAAAAGTTCTGGAGGTCTTCTTTTTTATGGAAGGTGTTAATTTTCATATAATATCTTCTTCTTCCTAGAAAAGCTGAAGGGCTTCTTTTTCATAGAAGAGCTTAAAATCTTCTTCATGTTTAAGCAGAAGAGATTTTTTTGGTATTTTTTTTTTTGTCGTAGATGACCCTCACTTAGAGGGATAGCTTCTTCAAAGATTTTTTACTGAACAGCGATAACTATTCCTATAGAAGAAAACCAACAAATCTCCTTATAGAAAAAAATATAAGAACCAAAGGTTTTCTTGGAAAATACCACAGATCTCGGCACAAAGAAACAAATTATCATCTAATGCGATAGCTCACAGACAACCAAGAGTTCTATTTACAAAAGACCGAGAGGTCACCTTTCAGAATATGAGGAAATATTTTTATAGGAATCTAAGAGCTGATATTACAGATGCCAAAATATCGTCTAAGAGAAGTTGGAACGGTTATCTTTGGAGGACCTCATGGTATTCTCCTTATGATAGACCAGGAAGTAGCCCTATAAGAGATCATAGGGTACTCTTCTAGAAAATCAAGAAGTCTTCAAATAAAGGACCATGTGGCGTTCTTATAAAAAATCCGGAGAAGTTTAGAAGTTACACTTCAGCAGTTTGAATATCGAATAATCCATATTCGCTGTAGAATATTAAAACGAAGACACAAATGACCTCGATACACCTCCTTCATTAGCTTTTATACCCCCAAATAGTTTTCCATCTATAACATACGGTTTAGTATTATATGGACCTCCAATCGGTCTAATACAAATGGAAAATCTTAGAACAATCTTTCATTCAACAAAATACACTCAACCTGTCTATCATTGATATACGACCTTCAATCGATCTGCTGTATATCGAAGACCTCCAATCGGCTCGTAGATTGCATTTACCCACCAGTATATTTGATTTCTTGTGTTTTCTGAACTCTATAAGTGTTGAGAACCTAGACTCTTTAATTTTTTTACTTTCTGGTGTAGTTTCTACTTTTCATATGTCCAAAGAGAAAATCTTCAAAAGTGGCAGCTACGAAAGTACAGGGTTTTTCCAAATAATACACCTAATTACAAACCCCCATAGAGACGCAAACCGCAGACATATGTATATGACCTCCATAACCCCAGACATAGTTGAACTCCCATCGATCTTTTTTTAGCTGAAATATCTTCAACCTATCGTTTTACACCCTTCAACACACTGTGGTACAGGTTATTATGTCTTTGTGCATATGTTTGTAATAGGCAAAAGGAAACGATAGATAGACCCATAGTTCCTTTTGAGATATAGCTCCTTTCATGTATAGCTTTGTCCGTTTTTATGTAAATGGTGCACAAAGTCGTTACATATCTATAATCCGATTTACACTAAAATTTGCACAGCTATTTGTTTGATTCAAGGACGACCCTGTGAAATTGGAAAAAATCGGTTCAGATTTATATAAAGCCACTAAATATATTTTCGTCCGATTTCATGTAAATGGTGTACCAAAGTCCCTATATATCTTTCGATTTGCACGAAATTTGGCATGACGTACTGAATTGAGCCAGAACGATGTGTGCCTAGTTTCGTGAAAATCGGTTCAGATTTAGATATAGCTCCCATATATATTTCCGTCCGATTTCATCTACATGGTGCACCAAAGTCCCTATATATCTTTCTATTTGCACGAAATTTGGCATGATGTACCCAGAATGATGTATGTGAGTTTCTAGAAAATCGTGATGTCTATAGCTCCCATATAAGTTTCTTGAAAATCGGTTCAGATTTAGATATAGCTCCCATATATATTTTCCTCTGATTTAATATAAATGGTGCGCCAAAGTCCCTAAATATCTTTCGATTTGCACGTAATTTGGCATGACGTACTGAGTTAAGTCTAGAATGATGTGTGCTAAGTTTCCTGGAAATCGGTTCAGATTTAGATATAGACACAAATGAGACACCGAGACACCTCCTTCATTAGACTTTATACCTCCAAACAATGGACCTCCAAGCGGACTAATATAAATGGAAAATCTCTGACCAATCTTTCATTGATTTTCGACGCATTTTGAATTATTAGAGGCTGAAATACATCTGTAGACAATATTTTCCAAAGAGTTTCACCTTTGGACAAAGCTTTCCTGACGAGGTCACCCGATTTTGGAAATTTTCTGTGCGATAAATTTTCCATATAGAACCATGTTTAGCCAAAGCGCCCATTTCTGGCAAATTTTCAGTATTTTGGAGGGTCTTAGGTATTTTCTCAACGAAGTTCCTGTAAATTGGTATTCCGAGGTCTTAGAGGTAAAAAACCATCTTTGCCAAAAATATTCGACTTAGGTCCATGTTTTCACATAGCCCCCATATAAACCCTTTGAATGGTTTAGGCCCATTTTTCCTCCGAAGTGGCTGTAATTTGACTTTCTAGGTTCTTGGGCAGTGAAAATGATTTTTTTTTTTTTGACAAAGGTCCATGTTTTGAAAAAGTATCCCTTGTAAAGGTTCCGCCCAATTTTAGATATTATGAAGGTTTTAGTCGGATTTCTCCCAAGAGGGGGATGTTATTTGATATTTGGTGATTTTGAAATGTGCAAAAAGCTGCATTTAATGTGTTCACAATGTGCTGTTCACAAGGCCCCCATATAAAGGTTCCGCAACATTTTTGTTGTTTTAAACCAGTCTCGGTTGTCATAGTGGATTTATCAAGGTCCTGCCGTTTTTCGGTATTTTTACGGGTTTAGTCGCATTACTTTGACATTTAGGGTTCCTAATGAATAATAAACTTAATTCCAAAAAATTTTAATATTGATCCATATTTTTTAATAGCCATACAAAGGCCCGCTCAGTATTTTGAAGGATTTAGCAGCACTTTCCACACGAAGTGAATGATATTTGGTATTCTGGATACCTGTAGGGTGAAAAATATCTTTGCAGACAATTTTCGTTATAGGTCTATGTTATGATATTACTTTCCAAATAAAGGTACTGCCCTACTTCCAATATCTTGAAGGTTTTAGTTGCATTTTCCCGCCGAAGTGGCAGGATTCCTGATGAAGAAAATGTTCAGTATAGGTTTAAGTTTTTAACTATTCAAAAGGTTCTGTTTTATTTTCGATATTTTGAAGGTGTAGTAGCTCAGTATTCCCCAACTGTTATTCCGTCTGTTGGTATATTTTTTTTCAGAGCATATACAATATACTAACTGACACTTTACAGTGGTGTAATTCTCATTTAAAGGTCCTGGCCGATTTTAGGTATTTTATAAGTTTACCCTCAAAGGAGGGCAAAAAGTTCAGTCCGCCCAATTGTTAAATTTTTTCATTTCTTTAATCGATTTGTTTTTTTTTTCAATTGTCCCATTTTAATGAGCCCCTTTTTAGGCCAACCCCTTTCAACCCTTCACCCAGATATTTTCTCTTCAATTTAAGGTAACCCCAATCAAATAGAATTTAAATAATTGATTTTTTTTCCTTTTCCAATTGATTAGATTTTTAAAATGAGGAGGTCCAACTAACTGGCCAGCATTTGAATGCAGTTGCATCATCAGTTCCGTTTCGTTTCGTTCCGTTCGAAGCAATAGAGGTAAACAAAAACAGACGATGCTTCATCGAGATGTAGGTAACATTTAACCTCATTTAGTTAAATGTTCATTCGTTTAACCATAACAATTACACAGGCGAACAGACACACAAGGAGGGATGGACAGACGGATAGGCAAATGGTTAGGCAGTCAGCTGAATGGACCCATAGATGGTCGGTTAGACGAACTTGGGGGATGTATAGATATGCAAATGATGTGCAAAAAATTGCAAACTGCAACCGGGGGTTAGTTAGAGAGCTTGCAGCAGAAAAATGCAAATGTTAGTTGGATGGTTGGTTGGTTCGGTTGGTTGTTCGGTTTTGTTTGTTTCTCTTTTAACGGAGGGGTCAAGTTAGTCAGCCTGTAAGCCATGCAACCGGCCAATATGGAGTTTCATACCTTTGAATAGGCTTGCAAATACCCCTTCGGTCTAATGCTTAACATTTTTTTTTATTCCAACTTACCTTCAGTGCATTCACAATGTGAATCCAAATATGTTAGGACCGGTGAAGTGGCATGACGTGCACCGAGTAGTCTGGCGCGTATTAAACCTTCACGCTTTGGTGCACGTAGAATTTTAACCTTTGGATATGCGGCAAAATAGTCTTCCAATTGTTTTTTCGTATGGGCTGGAAAAAAAAAACAAGAAAAAATAGAAACAAAACAATAAAACAACAACAATTTATTAAAAACGAAGTTAAAGGAGCATAGAAGAGGAGGGGGTATACCCCCTTCTTTAGAAAATAGGGGGCCATATCAAATTGCAAATGGGCAAGAGGACACAGGTGCAACTGAAATGTTAGACATTTAGAAATAATACAAATAATCCTCAATCACACACGCACACTCACACACACAAATAATTGAATATATATGTGTGTGTGGGTGATTGCGATATGGTCATAAAAATAATGCTTTGCCATGCCAGACACGTGCAACAATCAATCACGTTCCCAGACAATACCAGGGCATAATAACACAACGTGGTTATATTTTAGTTGGCTGCGGTGCATACAAAACACCAGTCAGCCAGCCAGGCAACCAACCAGTCAGCAAGCCAACCAGCCAGCCTACCTAACTGGCCCACTGCCCACATCATCTTCATCATCATCCTCATGTTTACTACATTTTCCAGTTGTGCAACCATATCTTCCTTTTGCTCTGCGTTGTAAGCTTATCGTTGCCCCCTAAACCTTCTCCCACCCCTTCATCCCATCATACTTACGCATATCCGAGTAGTCATCAACGAGTATAACATTGCCTATCAAATGTTCGGGTGAACGATCAAAAACGGAATGTACGGTACGTAATAGCACGGACCACGCCTCATTGTGGAAACAAATAATTACATCAGTGGCTGGTAGATCTTTTTGATAACGTCCCGGCTCTTTACACCTGTAAAATGGATAAAAGAAACGAGAAAAAAACAAATTAGTATAGTAAATTATTATAAAATACGACAACAACAACAGCGGCAACAAATAACATGAAGGCGAAAACAATATTTCGAGAAGCGGCAAAACCTATAAAGACGAAAATATTACAGGGAGGACAGTTTAGCAAGTTAAAATATATATGAGACCTATATCTAAATCTGAACCGATTTCCTCCAATTTTGTCCTTGGGCCAAATAAGTGAGCTGTACCAAATTTCATCCAAATTGGATTATAAATGTACACGAAGCATTTATAATCCAATTTGTTTACAATTTAACGTGGACAGACAGACGGACGGACATGCATATATTGACTCAGAATGTGTTTCTATGCATATTCTCAAAAGGAACCATGGGTCTATCTCGATTCATTTTGCCTGATACAAACATATGCACAGAGACACAAAATGGTAAAGGGTATAAAAATAGGTCAGGGTCTTTTCATGAAAGGGTATTTTAATGAATGATCAGAAATAAGAGGCGACATAACCTTTTGTGAAAAGGTTCGTTAGTATTTTTATTGAAGGTCTAAAGGGATTTCTACAAAAGGTTAACGTATTTCAGCACATCTGTACAATGAAATTATATCGACTAAATAGCATATATGAGGCTTCTGTAATTCAAAAGATTTCTGTTTATACCTCCTTCTATGGTTGATAGGTGGCAGATCTTTTAGGAGTGTTCCGTAGCTTTTCTATAGATATAAGACAGAACCCAAATGAAATCTATAAATAAAACAGCTGAACATTTAGATTCTCTGTCTCTAGTTTGTCAAAATACTAGGTAGCCCCTAGAGCAGCCCTGCCTCTATATGAAATATGTAGCCCCTAGAAACGCCCTGCCTCTATATGAAATACGTCAATAGTCCCTGCCTTTTCAGCTCCCTTAGTTATTTAACAGACCTCTCTACACATCTATAGTTTATCTACAAAGACTCCCAAAAATTTAATTTCAGAACTTCAGTACCTATGAAGACAATTGAAAATTGCAGGTCGCCTATAACACCTCATATACTTCCTTGCGGCCTATCCTTCATCTCGTTTACAGAATTTCCAATGTTAGCTCCTCTTCAACAATTCCCTGGTTTATAATGAATATATGGCTTTTCTTTGGCTTATCTTTAAATACTTGGTAATCTTTCAGCCCTCTTGGGTCTTATGCTCTGTACCTTTAGCTACAAATAATCATTGGTTCTTAGCCGTGACTTTAAATAATTCCCGAAACTTCAGCTTTTCTATAATGCCTTCCGTTATGTTCAGTTAGTTCCTTTTTTCCACCAAACCTCCACACGTCTATATGTATTACCAACCTTCAGGTTGCGTATAGAAGCTACGTGGATCCTCAATTAGTCTATAAATGCTTCATACACTTACAGTTATTGCCTGCAGATTATATTTCAAGACTACGTAGATCTTCAGAGAATTCATTAAAGAATTAGGAAATAATTTAAGACTCCCTTGGTATTCAGGCATCCTGATCGTTCAGAATCTCTTGATCTTCAGCGCATCTATAAATAATTTATTGAACCTTAATATTTTATAAATACCCTTTTGTGTATTCAGTTCTTCCAAATATTTGCTTCTGGGGTTTCAGGTTGTCTATAAAGGCTCTCTCACCCATCAGTTTATATAACAAGTAACTTTATTTTTTTCGCAAAACAATTAATCGATTACAGGTATTTTGAATGTTCAGCTCATGTTGGAGGCAGTTGGTCCCTGCCGAACTTAAATATGTTTTTTTTGCGTTGTCTTCTAGCACGAAGATATGACAAAAAAATTATATTTATTCTCCTCTCCCACCCATCTCCCCAAAATTAACTTAATTTCCCACAAAAGAAAAACTTTTTATTAATGTCATTAAATATTCCGCTCGTACATTTCGACATTAGACAATTTGCAGGACCATAAAACGAACCAAAACTTTTTCTCTCCTTCGAAATTTTGCTCATTTTCCTTAAGTGTTGTTCAATCAAAAAGTTTTGCTATGTTCATTATCAGACACAGCCATGTTGTAGTCCCAATGAAATTGACTAGTCGTCATCCTATTTTTTGTTTTTGCGTCCATTAAAGCGTTCGATGTAGCACCTACCAACCATCCGAATGCCAAAAAAACTACAACAACAAGATTGTTTTCAATGCTGTCGTACAAACGATTATATTTAAGCAATTTAAGGCTGACTTTATGCGTTCCCATCAAAATGAACACTTTAAAAGTGTTACACGAACATATGTCAAAAAATACGCAACGCAGTAGAGCCGTTTTTTTATGTAGCTGGTCTGACTTACCGGTGCTCCTTGCTAACTATGCTGTGGTACGATTATAGGGACTAGCTATTTAAATAAATGACTTTTGACTCCTATTTTCGCACACTTTCATTAATAACTTTTTGTTGTTGTCAGTTGTTTTTTTTTATCATTTTTTACACACATTCCGCACTCTGATCATGTTGCCTTGCGGAACGTGTTATTTGAAGTTTGTGAAATTGGTTTCCATTTACTTACCATGCATCCCGGGGATCTGGCAGTGTCCTGTGCACTGAAATCATATCCGATACATATTGATTAAAGGCATTCTTTTGCCAGCCATCGTCGACCGCCTTTTTCATTTCTTCTGTCATATTGGCGGGCAGTGTTACTGGCTTACCCATCTCGCCGGGTGAATCTTTGGGTGGCGATGGTGGGGCGAGTACATTTTTGCCTGGAAGTAGAGAAAAATGAATTAAAGAATTTGTAGGAGAAAAACAAAATATATAAAATTATTTGCTTTAAGAAAATTGGATTTTCATAATAAAATATAAAAAAATTTTTGAAATACTTTAAAGGGGCTACTTGTTTGGTATTTCTAGAGACTTGTGGTCTCTACACCGACAAATTGCAAAGACATAAAAGTATAAAGATAGGACAATTGATACGTAAGCAATTTCCAACAGATGGCTTTTCCTCTGTTGTTACGATATCATAACAACAGAGAGAACAATATTAAACGTTTTTAATGCTATATCTTAAGCTTATAAAATGAAAATACATATTTTGACCTTTTTTATAATTTTAACACATTTTCGCGTATTGGCGTTTTTATTCTTAACATGCCTCTGTTAACCTTGATTCCCCCTGGATATTTTTTCATACACTATTTTGCCCATTTTGTCGATGGTTTCTTGTAAATTGATCGTTATAGAGACCGGTGGTCTCTACTCCGACCAATTGGTCTTTATAGAGACCGGTGGTATCTACACCGACCAATTGGTCTTTATAGAGACCTGTGATCTCTACACCGACCACTTGATCTTTATAGAGACGTGTGATCTCTACACCGACCACTTGGTCTTTATAGAGACCTGTGGTCTATACTCCGACCAATTGGTCTTTATAGAGACCTAGTGGTCTCTATACAGCCCATATGGTCAATATAGAGACCTAGTGGTCTCTATACAGCCTATATGGTCATTATAGAGACCTAGTGGTCTCTATACAGCCCATATGGTCATTATAGAGACCTAGTGGTCTCTATACAGCCCATATGGTCACTATAGAGACCTAGTGATCTCTATACAGCCCATACTGTCACTATAGAGACCTAGTGATCTCTATACAGCCCATACTGTCACTATAGAGACCTAGTGGTCTCTATACAGCCCATATGGTCAATATAGAGACCTAGTGGTCTCTATACAGCCCATATGGTCAATATAGAGACCTAGTGGTCTCTATACAGCCCATATGGTCATTATAGAGACCTAGTGCATTATAGAGACCCAGTGGTCTCTATACAGCCCATATGGTCATTATAGAGACCCAGTGGTCTCTATACAGCCCATATGGTCATTATAGAGACCCAGTGGTCTCTATACAGCCCATATGGTCATTATAGAGACCCAGTGGTCTCTATACAGCCCATATGGTCATTATAGAGACCCAGTGGTCTCTATACAGCCCATATGGTCATTATAGAGACCCAGTGGTCTCTATACAGCCCATAGAGACCCAGTGGTCTCTATACAGCCCATATGGTCATTATAGAGACCCAGTGGTCTCTACAGCCCATATGGTCATTATAGAGACCCAGTGGTCTCTATACAGCCCATATGGTCATTATAGAGACCCAGTGGTCTCTCAGCCCATATGGTCATTATAGAGACCCAGTGGTCTCTATACAGCCCATATGGTCATTATAGAGACCCAGTGGTCTCTATACAGCCCATATGGTCATTATAGAGACCCAGGGGTCTCTATACAGCCCATATGGTCTTTATAGAGACCTAGTGGTCTCTATACAGCCCATATGGTCTTTATAGAGACCTAGTGGTCTCTATACAGCCCATATGGATAAAGATAGGACAATTGATACGTAAACAATTTCCAACAGATGGCTTTTCCTCTGTTGTTACGATATCATAACAACAGAGGGAACAATATGAAACGTTTTTAATGCTATATCTTAAGCTTATTAAATACAAAAATATATTTAAAGTGCAGATCTCTGATTTTATTTACATTTTATAAACACATTATCGCGTATTGGCGTTTTTATTGTTAACATGCCTCTGTTATGCATGATTCCCCCTGGATGTGTTTTCATAAACTATTTTGTCAAAATGCATTTTGTCGAGTCTTTACGGTTTTTATGTCTTTGCCATATGGTCTTTATAGAGACCTAGTGGTCTCTATACAGCCCATATGGTCTTTATAGAGACCTAGTGGTCTCTATATAGCCCATATGATCATTATAGAGACCCAGTGGTCTCTATACAGCCCATATGGTCATTATAGAGACCCAGTGGTCTCTATACAGCCCATATGGTCATTATAGAGACCCAGTGGTCTCTATACAGCCCATATGGTCATTATAGAGACCCAGTGGTCTCTATACAGCCCATATGGTCATTATAGAGACCCAGTGGTCTCTATACAGCCCATATGGTCATTATAGAGACCCAGTGGTCTCTATACAGACCATATGGTCATTATAGAGACCCAGTGGTCTCTATACAGACCATATGGTCATTATAGAGACCCAGTGGTCTCTATACAGCCCATATTGTCATTATAGAGACCCAGTGGTGTCTATACAGCCCATATGGTCATTATAGAGACCCAGTGGTCTCTATACAGCCCATATGGTCATTATAGAGACCCAGTGGTCTCTATACAGCCCATATGGTCATTATAGAGACCCAGTGGTCTCTATACAGCCCATATGGTCATTATAGAGACCCAGTGGTCTCTATACAGCCCATATGGTCATTATAGAGACCCAGTGGTCTCTATACAGCCCATATGGTCATTATAGAGACCCAGTGGTCTCTATACAGCCCATATGGTCATTATAGAGACCCAGTGGTCTCTATACAGCCCATATGGTCATTATAGAGACCCAGTGGTCTCTATACAGCCCATATGGTCATTATAGAGACCCAGTGGTCTCTATACAGCCCATATGGTCATTATAGAGACCCAGTGGTCTCTATACAGCCCATATGGTCATTATAGAGACCCAGTGGTCTCTATACAGATCATATGGTCATTATAGAGACCTAGTGGTCTCTATACAGCCCATATGGTCATTATGGAGACCTAGTGGTCGCTATACAGCCCATATGGTCATTATAGAGACCTAGTGGTCTCTATACAGCCCATATGGTCATTATAGAGACCTAGTGGTGTCTATACAGTCCATATGGTCATTATAGAGACCTAGTGGTGTCTATACAGTCCATATGGTCATTACAGAGACCCTGTGGTTTCAATACAGCCCATATGGTCATTATAGAGACATGTGGTCTCTTTACCGACCAATTGGTCTTTATAGAGACCTGTGGTCTCTATACAGCTCATATGGTCATTGTAGCGACCTAGTGGTCTCTATACCGCCCATATGGTCATTGTAGGGAACCAGTGGTCTCTATACAGCCTATATAGTCATTATAGAGACCCAGTGGTCGCAATACAGCCCATATGGTCATTATAGAGACGCAGTGGTCTCTATACAGCCCATATGGTCATTATAGAGACCCCGTGGTCTCTATACAGCCCATATGGTCATTATAGAGACCCAGTGGTCTCTATACAGCCCATATGGTCATTATAGAGACCCAGTGGTCTCTATACAGCCCATATGGTCATTATAGAGACCCAGTGGTCTCTATACAGCCCATATGGTCATTATAGAGACCCAGTGGTCTCTATTCAGACCAAGAGGTCTCTATACAGCCAGTAACTGGTCATTATAGAGACCTAGTGGTATCTATACAGCCCTTACGGTCATTGTAGAGACCTAGTGGCCTCTACACCGATCAATTGGTCTTTATAGAGAACACAGGTCGTTATTTCCAATGCCAACCATTGTTCCTTAACTTCCACTACTACCACAATGATATTTGCATCCTCATTTGATTACATCCACATTTGATTACCTTCATGCAAATGACATTTTGGGGGCGGTGCCATTGTGGGATTGTTTTCTGCATTAAGATGAGATGTTGTAAAAGAGCTTCTGAAAAGTTCTTGTTTAACATAACAAAAGGAGTTGTGAAGTAGACAAGTTGTTGTTGTTGTTATTGTTGTCAAGATACAAATTTCAATTTGTTGCATATCACATTTACTGTCAGACAGGCCGACATGCCTGTAACAACTCCTTTGAAATTGTAAGGCTATTTAAAAATTGGAAACCGAAATGATAACTATACCGAAAGGAAACAATAAGAGGTAGAGTAGTAGAATTGCAGCATGGAATGAGGCCATATTATCCCAGGAATAATACCATTGTTTGGTTGAAACAAATGTCTATAGGAGGGATGAATATGGCTTTTTGTCCACCTTTCGTATAAAGAAAAAATGAGGAGGGTCATTTGTCATTAGACGTGAAGGTTATAAAAATATATTTTTTTTATCAAAATATTGTTCCCAAGCCCAAATATTCTCTGTCCCACTTAAAGACCCATAACATTTCAACTCCGTGTTACCACTTATGAAAATTAACTCCCATTCCCCCTTCTCGAAATTTTCATTCAGCCGCTATGAACGACTCCACATCTTTCACAGAGCTACACTTGATGCAATTTCCATTCAAAAAAATATCAAACAGGAAAATAAACCGTGGAAAAACTGTCGTCGGCTAAGTACGCATATTTGCGAATATTCAGTGCACCAAAACAAGCTTAAAACTATGGCCAGGATTTCTTTCCGAATTCAGAGTATGGCAACTGAAGGCCACAAAAAGGAGTACACAGTTTATTTATGGACTGGGTGGGTAAATATGATTTTCGGTTTCCAGTTACAATTTGTATTTTGCATGATTTAAGCCCAGGCCTATTTTTCGGCCTCCTCTACACTCTCACTCCCTTCTCATTCATATGCAAAGCAAAAATCTGCAAATGATGTTGGATGTGTTGTGTTTTTATTTGTTTGTCCTTCCATCATTTGCTTGATGTTTGGTTTGGTTGGTAAGCGCAAGCCTTTGATGCTTTTGAGTATTGGTTGAGAAGAAAGTTTTTTGGTCATGTATATATGTGTATGTATTCATGTACATCACCACAACCGCCGCCATCGTGATGGGCTATTTATTTGGTAATACAAGCTTTGGGTTTCTTTTTTCTGGGGTTTCAGTTTTTTTTTTTGTGGAAAAGGGCTCTTGTTGCCACATAAGAGTCCTCGAGCCTTTATTAGGATGCATATAGTTTTCATGGTGTTGCTGGTATG